GGCCCAAGTGGAAGATCGCCCGAAGCAAGATTGCGCCTACAGCGAAGAACATGTACATAGAGATGCTCGGGGCTTTTGCTGCCGGTGACAAGGCTGCTGTCAACGAGTTATGTCTGGGCCAGTTCGGAAAGAAGCTCATGGCCGCTATCGATCGTCGAAACCCCGCTGAGCGTGTCACATTTGAGTTGGTCAAGCTCAATTCGACATGGGCGTACCCTCGTGTAATGGCACACCAGGTCCACAACGTGAATCCTCACGACAAGGAGCACAGCACAGAGCAGGCCGTTGTTGCGATTGCCTCCACACAAAAGGTCGCGAAATACAAGAAGGCCACCGGCGAGCTCATCCCCGGAAGCACAAAGGTGCAGGACAAGATCGAATACGTGGTGGTCTCACGACAGGTCAGCGAGAAGACATTTCAAGCTGGCCAATGGCGCATATGGGGAACCATTTCTCCAACAACTCTAGAGGCATTCCAGGAGGAGCAGGATTGGATCACCAGGGAACAGGCCAAGCGAGCTGGATGGGAAGGGCCTCTGAAATGAAAATAAAAAGGTACAAAGTTGTATAAATACGCTGGAATGCTCATGATGTTAGTGAGCAGAGGAGGAGGAGGAGGAGGAGGAGGAGGAGGGAACATGTAAAATGAGAGTGTATATTATATGATGAGCATGTTTTGTACTATATTCTAGAATATCTTTGCATTGCGACTGGCGAACGGACGGTATAAGTACTTCTCCAATTCAGACCAGACATCAATTTCCGGTATGTGTGATGGTGCAAGTGAGAGCATGTTTGGAAATTCAGATACAAAATGTGATATTGAAGACAGTTTCATCGAGAGCCATACGAGAGCAGATTGATTGATTTGATGTTATGTCGTGGTATTTCTACTAGATTATATTACTGGGGAGGCCGCTATAGTAGGCTGTGGCTGTGGTATTCCTGGCATCTTGTTATATACACTGAGTGCTCTCACTAGGGGAGGGAGCGGCCTGTCCTGGTTCTGTTTTTATCAGGACAAAATAAATGATTAACCTGGCAGGCATAGTAATTCTCATGCTATGCAAGTTCTGAGCTAGTGCTGCAGGTCTGTAAAAAAGTTGCAGCATGGGAACTACCGAGCTGAACAATTAGGTTTAGGCTGAAATACTGGTGTAAATCCTCTTGATTAACCTATCGATTACTTTTCGCCAAACCAACCAACCGCGAAACCAATCTTATACCAAACCCCCAATTGATTGTCAAACTTGTTTGACAGAACAGAATCCAAAGGCATCTGCTTAGTGTCCCCTTAAAAGAACTTGCCAGGGGTCGAAGAAACGAGGTTCTCAGTGGGAACATCCTCCTCAGTGCTTGAAGGACGAAGGTCCACGGGGCGATCAAGAGCATCAAAACGATATCCTCGAATCTTAGCAGACATGTACTGGTAAGAAAGACGGAGGGCAAGAGCACCACAGCCCCAGAGAATACTTCCAACAGGGGCAGCAACAAAAGCGCCAAAGGCACTCCAGTCATTGCCATAGAGACCCTTCTGCACAAGGAGAAGCTCACCGGCCTCCTGGGCGTTACCGTAGTAGACGCATCCAAAGATGAAGACGGTGAGGATACCACCAAGACCACCGACAACAACCTCAAAGCCACGCCACCAGTAGAACTTATCAACAAGACCAATCACCAAGACGGGAATTGTAGCGGCGGAGATGAGATCGGTGATGAGCCAGATCTGAAGAACGGAGGGGGCCTTGAGAGCAATGACGATGACCGGGATGATGATGACGACGACAAAGGCACGGATGTACCAGATGTTGAGCTTGTTGCGGAAGAGATCGTTAGAGCCGGAGGAGACCATAGCAGACTGGAGACTGTCAAAGGCAGCTGTGCTCATGGTGACGACCATGACGAGCACAATGCCAACAACCCAGCTCGGAAGGGTCTCGAGGAGCACGAAGAAGGCCACTGATCCAGAACCAGCAGCGTCCTCGAGAGATAAAGCTCCGGACCAAACGGCGATCAGACCAGTGGAACCAACGAGAGTGAGGATACACAGAATGACGATCGTGGCGATGGTAGTACCGATTCGAAGATCCTTGTCAGTCTTGGAGGCGAAAGTTCGGAGCCAGAAGGAAGAGAGGAAGAAGTCGTTGGTCAAGACAGCAACAGGTAGGATGTACAGAAGCTGCCAGCCGAGGAGGTTGGACTTGGTGAGACCAGACTCTTCGATGAGAGGTCGCTGAATCTCAGTCTTTGCGCCAATGGTGATGGCGGCGATAATGACGAGACCGATGACCATGGTACCTTGGGCAACATCGGTGATGAACGAGATTCTGAAACCTCCGAGGGCTGTAGATTGTTAGATAAGACATAGGGCCGCAACACAGAGAAACTCACAGGTATAGATGGTTGTGACAGCGCACTGAACGATCATGACCGGAAGAGGTTTGAGGCCAGTCATGGCATTAACGACCTGTCCGATAGCCGACAGCTCACCAACCATGTACAGGAACAAGGTCACAAGAGACATGAAGCTCAGGTACAGCATAGTAATGACACCATATCGCTGGCGAGTCCACTCAGTGAGGACAAACCCCTCAGGGCATCGTCGTCGGATGATAGGGCCGAGGTATCCAAAGATGAGCATGGGCAGCGACGACGCAAGAGCGTAGACAATCATACCCTGGACACCAGAAATAGTGGCCAACTCAGGGTACGAGAAGAGAATACCGGATCCGAGAGCTACAAGAGTCAGTTGTCATTCCAACGTTATTAGGGGGGCAGGGGATAGATTGGAGCGGCAACACTTTTCCCACGCAAGCATTAACTTGATCGAGTATTTACGGTACAATCTCAGCTTCGTCGTCGCACGCCAGGATCTCCCCAGAAGAACAGACATGTCTGCCGTCGCAAACATGCTCCGAGGTTGGATCCAGACGATACGTCAACTCAGCGCCCGTAGTGAGCCGCATCCTCTCCCCCCAGCCTCCCGAGATTGCCTCTCTGGAGCAGGTAGTTCGAGTTACCCAGCTCAGTCGGGAGTGACCTCGACTGAGCCGGATGGGGTTAGTAGCAACAGAGTCTGAGAGCATCTCAGGAGGGGTAGGGGGGAGAGAAGGAAGATCTTCTTTCAATGTACGAACCTGCTCGTTCATCTTATGACTGGCATATACTCGACCGAGAAGTTTCAGGCTGGAGTCTCTGTGCGAGGTCTCACAGGCTGTATTCTTCGTTTTTGCTGACATGTTGCAGTTTGCCACCGCTCCGGAGTTGTTGTAGCAAGAGCTCTTTTGGCTCTACTCACCGGAGGCGATGAAGTTGAGGGCCAAAGGGAAGGCTGTTCCTGTGGTTAGCCTTTGTTCCGTGTTGTTTGAGCTGTAGATTGAGATGTTTGTGAGTAGAGGAGCAGAGTTGTCTCGTCGCTTCTCACAAACACTTCGTGACTGGGGATTTTCTGACCCGTCTGAGTTCCGTTTCCTGAAAGGAAATCGGCCTTTGACTGATGTCTCATCTTCCAAGCAATGCCAGTTCCCATGAGTCTGTTCTGCTGATTAGCTTCAATACGAAAATGTAAGCGAGATCGGAGACAAACAGGAACAGGGCATAAGTGACATAGATGACGGCATTGGACGCCGTGTTCGAGGGAAAGCCCATTGTGAGTTAATTCCAAGTTGACGATTCTTGTTGATGAGATGCGTTTGTTTCTTCCTTTAGCTGAGAATTGACGTGATGTAAGTGAAGACGAAGGAAGAGAGAGAGAGAGCGAGAAAAATTGCAAATAAGTCAATTGAAAAAAAAAAGTCTCTCCTGGTTTGGTCTGGTCTCGTCTGATCTGGGATGATTAGTTAGCGTAGGAATAGAACCTCCCTCTACACCCGATTTAGTAACGTTCTATCTCCAAATTGACTGCATAGAGGAAATCTGGGCCATCAAATGCTTGTCGCTTTTACTACGGAGAGTGGGGGTCACTGTAGCATCCTTGGGCCACTGTAAACCGCATGATCACGGCCCACGATGGATGATCGGCCGACGCTGAATCTACCTGAGGGACCTGGAGGAGGAAAGAAAACTAGGGACCTTGATCCTAAATGGCAGAAACATTTAGGCAACTTGGTATAGATCTAACTTAAGTTTAGGATGTATTTGCTGAGTTTATTTTGACAACACCTGTCAAGGCCGAGGGACATCATATCATATCATATCATGCCTGTCATTGAATGTGGCAACTTTCGGCCCTTTTTGTCAGTCTCAGTCATATCGTCACATCATCACTCACTCATTCACTCAGTAATTCACAATTGCGTGCAAGGAGGGACAAGATTTTGGTGGGACAAAGTCCCATTGGTGAGATTGCTCCCTTATTCTCTTTTTTTGTGCTTTTCTAGGGGGTTGACAATATACGTCAAGAACAGTAAAGGAAAGAAAGGAAAGGAAAGGAAAGGAAAGGAAACCGTGAAGTAAACAAATCCGCACATAGACGAGAAAACCGCAGAGACACCTCGTCTCTCGTATCTGACCGTGGTTCCGAAAGCAATCCAGTCTCATCCAACCCTGCCGTGTCGAAGATCTGTTCTGTCTAAGGGCATCCAAGCCGATATGATTGGTGTGATGTCTCTTGTAAATCCTGTCGTCTGTCTTTGTGCTGTGGCTCAGGGAAAGGCATGCCTAGCATGCTGGTGCGGTGATGTGTCTGGCGGGGAATTAAAAAACATGTGGCTGGTTGCGAATATAACTTTTCGAGAACCAAAAAAAAGTCATTAAAGACCAATCAGGTCCAGCTTTAGAAATGGCGACTGAGCCTAGGCTCCTAGGCTCGCATGGATATATAGCTGTGTATAGCACTTGCAAGCTGAGAAATCGAAAGAAAAGATCAGAAAAGTCGAATAAAGGCGCCAAAAAAAAAGTCGAGCTGGAGGATCAGGTTTGGTGGTCAGAGAGAAGGTAAACACCAAGAGGCCATATACTATGTACCTGGATATAGAGGTTGTGGCAGGGCGTCTGGATATCTAAGAGTTATAGCGACGGTAGCGCTCTGCTTCCTGCCGCTGGCGGCTCTGGTGGTAGGACTCTCTTGGTCCCCGGGGAGTGAAGTTAGAGTGGGGCGTACCGCTGTAATTCCCCTGGTAATGCATCTGCTGAGGATGCGCGTATGAAGCATGGCGGCGACCTTGGTACTGAGGTCGACCATGGCTTTGGTATGGGTGGTTGCGAGCATCTTGAGACACAGTCATGGGCTCGTGATACTCGCGTTGGTGGTGTCCCTGGAATGGCACCTGAGGTTGCCCTTGGTACATGGGGGCGGGTTGTGGAGGAGGAGGATACTGCACCTGGGATGGCCTTGGGCCTGCATACCCATGGTGAGATGGGCCTGGGTATATCTGCATAGGCTCATTGAACTGCAGATGAGGATGCTGAGGTATGTTCATATAGCTAAAGCCACCAGGAGCAGCGACGGGAGGCATAGCTGGGGGCAGCATCGGCATGTAACCCATAGGCGGCATGGGTGGAGGGTATTGAGGGACCATATTTGCATATGGCATGGCGGGCTGGTACGTTTGCTGCTGAGCAGCAACGATAGGCTGGTCATCGGAGACTTGCGGAGAGGCGACGACGACCTGTCCTTCGGGGACTCGCTCAGTGGCATCACTCTTCCGAGACTTGCCACTCTTGTCACGAGGCTGCTCGGTTTCGCGAGTTAGAGATCTGCCGCGCATAGTCTCCTCCGATGTAAAGGTGCTCTTGAATTTGGACTGGTATAATAGGTTGCGCTTTAAGTTCTCCTCAGATAGGTGGCGACGTCGAATCAGGCCACTCTTAGCCTTCTTCTTCTGCATGCCCTGCTCGTCCGGCGAGCTTCCACTCTCGCGCCAAGTGCTGTCGTCGCTCTCCGATAGGTCAAGAGGAGGTGGATAGGTAGAGGTGATAAACATCGAAACAGCACGGCGGTGTCCCTTGCCGTTGGCCTTGTCTTCAGCAGCAACCTCACACCGTATCGCTGCAAGTTCTGCAGCAGGTGAAAAGGCCGTAACCCGAGAGTGTCCATCTGCAGCGAGACGATCCTTGAAAGCCCGAAGGTTCGGCGGGCTGAACTCTGCAGGAGGAGCAGGTATCTGAAGGGGAATAGGAGATGACCCAGCATGAGATGGCAAGGTGCTTGGAGAGGGAGCGAAACGAACTGTGTTACCAGACTCGACAGGGTACTTTTCAGGAGACTGAACTGGAGTGACCTCATCTAAGCTGGTAGCTGGGACTGTTAAGGTCGGGACGGGTAAAGGTCTGGGTTGCATGTTCTCCGGCTTCAGTAAGTCCTCCACGCGATGGTTCTCAAGGAACTCCTGCTCCTCTTGAGACAAGTCTGTGCTCGAAACCATGTGGCGGTGGTTCATCGGAGTAGCGGCCTCGGAGACGACGCGAGAGTCAAAGCGACGATGAGGACGCTTAACAGGACGGAGAGGGGATGGATACAAGCGAGCATCATCCACACTACCAGGCATGCGGGAAGAACCAGAGCCGGGAACACGGGATGGGCCAGGTTTGGGAAAGCGAGAACCAGAGTCGGGAAAACGGAAACCAGGGTTGGGGTAGTGAGGGCCAGAGTCGGGCAGCCGAGTGCCGATGGCTTGAGGAACAGCGACAGCTTCGGGGGCGGGCTTGGTTCTCTTTCGTTCGACCCGAAGGATACAGCCTTCAACTTCTTTGCCATTCTTAGGACAGGTGTTAGCAGACATTCGGTACGCACTCGGATCCCGACGGAATACAAAGGAAGAACTTACAAATTCTTCCATGGCTCTGTCAGGGACATCAAACTCGTCGTACTCGACGAATGCCCAAGGGTGAGGGACTGGAACAGTTAGTTGAGACCAATTTCATGGGTGGGAGTCACTTACGACCACCGTCCTGGTCAGGGGAAGTTCGTAGCTCAACAGAACGAATATGGCCGCAGATGCCAGCCAGTCGGTAGACCATGGCCTCGTCAGCATAATGAGGTAGTCCGCCGAAGAACACTGAGCGACAGTCCTTTTCGTACATCTCCATGAAGGTTTGATCGTCCGCTGGGCGGTCAGAACGCTTCTGAACCATCTTGGGATCGAAAGCCATAATGACGAATGGCGTGTTGGGGCCGACGTCCTTAAACTATATTAGCTCTACAATTAATTGAGTTGTCTTGCATAGAACTTACCTGGATGACGTTACGTTTGGGGTCAAATCTGGAGTATAGTATACGAAGACTGGGAGGAACGGCGAGCTTGGTCTGAGCATCATGGTCGAGAATCTCGACCTTCTTAACTGGTCCATAGCGGGAAAAAATAGAATGAGCTTCGTTGGAGTGAACGGGGCGAGTGTCTTTGCGCCAGATAATGTAGGAGACTATTAGAAGTTAGCATCTAGACATAAAGGTTTTGCCGGGAGGACATACGGTTTCCGCCGCACTTCTCAACTCGGATAGCACGGCCATGGATGATATCTCCACGAGCCTCGCGCACCGCAACATCGGCGTGCTTGATTTGCTAATAAGAAGTTAGTTCACCGTGTGTCAAATAGAACTGATGCCTATCATGGTCAACTCACAGTGTACTGAACAAAGGCCATAGGCATGTGTCTGATGCGGTCACGCTTGACCTTGACGAAGACTGTACCAAACTTGGCAAAGTGCTTGGTAAGAGAAACCCTCAGGGTGAGATCATCGATGTGTTGAGGGAGGCTGGACCCAAGGTCAGTACATGCATTACACGGCGAAGAAACAAGTTGCTCACTTGGCCACAAATAGACAAGCATCTCCAGGATAAAGAGACTGAGCGTCGAGCTCTCGATGGATGTTGGCAACGGCTCCCATTTTAGCCGGGAGAGTGGCAATGGGTCGAACGGCCTCGCTCGCAGGCATGAAGTTGCCAGTGAGCGCTGGATGTGCCTGGTTCGTCGCGACCTGAGCGGTGGGCTCCACGTTCGTAGGGTAGTCAACGTTGTCTTGGCCAGCTTGATGAGGGTTGTTGTAGGGGTAAGAGCTGTATTCAGGCTGGGCAACATCGTCCTTCTGGACCAAAGATGGCATGCTATGGACTTCTGTCAGCAAAGTTCAAGTTGAACTCGTCCTCAAACCAGTAACTACCTCTTGGAGCCGGTGAGCGGTCGGGAAGGAGAGGCTGAAATGTGTTAGTACGTCTGCTTGTTCCAGGAATGGTGGAAATAATGAAAAGTGAAGCTTGTTCAGGAAAGCCCCTGAGCGGCTTGCTCGCCAGAAAACACGAAAAGGGGCTATCCCCAGAAGTTACCACGACACCACGAGAGTAGCCGCTAACACTCCTAGAAGGCGCGATGATCTTTTCTCTTCAAAGCAACGAGAAGGAGACAAAAGAATTTCAAAGATTTGGCGCGGAAACGAGTGCCTTCACCAGAAATAATACCACAAAGACACCGACTTCGCGTCGAAGGACAAGCAAGACAGAGACGGTGGGGAAGGGTAGAAACGGTAGTCTTTCCTCTTGAATGTGATGCAAAAGAGATGAGAGCAGTTCCAGGAAATGGGCCATGTGATACAAGCTTCTCTTGGGGGATTGACGCCAGCGGTAAAACAAAGAAGCCCGGCTTCGCGCTGGAGAACGAACTGAAGGAAGAGAAAATAGAAGACATAAAAGATAGACTATACAGAGAAGACAAAACTCAAGAAGCCAGTGTGCTTTCGGTAGAAATCAAACGATCTTGCGCTGGGCTCGCGGCCAAAGCAGAACAGGGAGAAGAGTCAAATGTGCTAGAAGGAGAGACTTACATCTGGGAGAGCCATCGCTCTCCGACTCCTCCTCGTCGCCCGAGTAGTGTATGTTCAGGGCAGAGAAGGCGTTTCGAAGCGTGCGGTTTGTAGACGCAACCGCATGCGGTGTTCGATACTCGAGTGTCGACATGATGACGGCACCAAGGGCGAAGTGGGTTCTGTTGAGTGACAACACGACACTGTTAGCTTCAAATTGGAAGAGGGTGTTAAAAGGAAGAAGGAAGAAGTGTGAGGAGCGGAGAAGGAAGAGATGGTTTTGATGTCTTGATAAGGGGGGGTGAGTGGGAACAGTGATTCATGGACCTCGTTCGCAAGTTGAGGTCTGGCAAGTAGCAAGAGATCACTTGAGTGAGATGGTAGTGTTAGAAGGAATAAGAAAGAAGTATGGGGAGAGTAGAAGGAGGTGCTGGTTTTGATGTCTTGCACGGGCGACAGTGAATCATGACTCTTGCCAGTGAAGTGAGGCTTGACAAGTAGCAACACGATAATGCGAGCTTCAATTTGATGGAGGGATAATTGTAAAGAAGAAGGAAAGTGTGTAGGAAGTGGTGATGGAGGTGATGGCTATGTTGTTTTGATGAGGGAGGGGTAGCAGTTCATTTACCTCGTCGGCGAAGGGAGGTCCGATAAGTGACAACAGTATGATGGGAACTTGTTCAAGTTGATACAAGGATACTGTAAGGAAGAACGTAGATGTTTCAGGAGAAGTATAGTTTTTGTAAGGAAGAAACATGGGTGTTGCAAGGGGGAAATGGATGTTGTAAGGAGGAAGAAAAACTTGTAGGAAGAGGGAAACGGGGGGGGGGGGGGGGGTTTGATAAGGGGGCAGCAATTCACTAACCTTTTCGGCGCGTTTTTTTTTTCGTTCTTGCTTGACTTTGAGAGATGGGATCGATAGTATCACTATATATATCAAAGTCAGTATTGATTATGATTTGAAGTCCGTTTTGTTTTGTGTGTTGTGTTGAGATGAGATGAGGTGAAGCTCGTGATCTTCTCGCGAAAGACACAGGGGACCAAAGGAGCGGCAGCAAGTGAAGGTGCAACAAGAGGTGCCAGAACGCGATAAGACGACTATTGTGATGAGGCAAGTTTCAAGTCGGTAGTTATCGTGATCTGAAGTCTGTTGATTGTGTGGTGTTGAGTTGAGAAGGTGAAGGTTGTGATCCCTCGTGAGAAGATGCAGAGGTTGAAGAGAGCGCCCACAAGTTAAGGGGCGCCAACGAGAGAAAGAACGCAAGAAGCCGATAGAGATGAGTAGATAGACTTCCGCTCAGTATTTATGACGAGCTGAAGCCTGTTGATTGTTGTGTGCTGAGTTGAGAAGGGGAAGTTCATGATCTCTTCGCGAGAAGACACAGAGAGCCACCCAAACGGCAACAAATCAAGGGACAACAACCAGCGCCTGAGCTCAAGCTTGCGATGAAGACGATATGGTAGCTTTTAGCTCACTTTTATTGTGATCTTGAGTCCGTTGCGTGTTGTGTGGTGGGATGAGAAGGGGAAGCTTGTGATCTTCTCGCGAGAAGACACTCAGGGCCACGCGAACGGTGACGAGTGAAGGGGTAGCAACAAGCGCCTGAAATCAAGCTTACAACTAAGGTGACTAGGTAGCTATTGTATCTGCGTTATCGTGAAATGAAGCCTGTTGTGTGTTGTGTGGTGGGTTGAGAAGGAGAAGGAGAAGATCGTGAGCTTCTCGCGAGAGAACAAAGGAGACCACGCGAACGGCAACAACGAGCGCCGTACCGTAAGTTGACGATAGCGATGATGAGGTAGCCTTCAGCTCGCTGTTATTGTGATTTGAAGTCTGTTATGTGTTGTGTGGTGGGTTGAGAAGGGGAAGCTCGTGATCTTCTCGTGAGAAAACACAGGGAGCCACGCGAACGGCGGCAAGTCAAGGGGCAACCACAAGTGCCAGAACACGAGGAGACGATGAAGATGATGAGAAAGAGCTTCTCAAGAAGAGGGAACTTGATATGGATTGTGATATGCTGGCGTTGAGGAAAGAAAGGGACTTACCGTGTTTGTTGTTCGCGATGCTGGAGGAGAAGAGGGGGAGAAGTTGTGAGCTTGGGAAGCGAGTGGAGATACAGTAGAGAGCAAGGCCGCGGTGAGTACACCGGCGGTAGCGGTCACGACACGGTGAAACTTGAGATCCAGGGGTAGGGCAAGTTCAGTTGTACAGCCTGTATTTCGACAGCTACGACAGATCGCTCTAGACGCACGAATGATGAAGATAAGGTGATGCAAACCATCGGAGAGTGATCTCTGGTGCCACGAATACCTGTTTAAGCTTCATTGATGTGATTTAATGTGTTTGTGAAGCAGTTATGGCGGTGCAGCGACATGGCATAGTGCCGGATACCGACGCCGGCGGGAGCGGAGACTTCTTGCATAGGGGCCAGCATCAACTGTAACACGAGAACTATATCCCCAAAATGATGTCTACGGGGCAGTAAACCACTGAGGTTTCTGTAGTCTGCATGTCATAGGCCTATTGGAATTCACAAGCACTGCAATGCCATAAGTATATCCATATGCCCACTCCGCTGGAACAGTACCTGGGAAGAAACTGTGTTTCTAGCTAGCTTGCAATCTTATTGTCTTCTGTAATGCATATTGATGAAGGACAAAGCTGCCGGTAAACTACTAAATGTCGAAGAAAAGTAGTAAGACAAACAATAACAGGGTGCAAACAGCAAACACTCTTTAACAGTTCTTTGACCTACTGACATTTTGCTTCCGGGTTCCCGTCGAACCTTTGTGACGCTACTTTTCTTGCCTATGTTAAATAATCTTACTGATTTCGTAAGATATCAAACTTGGACCCATACCAGCCATTTTCAGGTCGACAGCGCCGAGTGGTAACTCCACCACATTGCACCAACCCTGCATTTTCTACCGTTCCCGTCAAGCATCTCTATCATGCTATATAATATTGAGGCTTCTGTACGACTTCATGCTGAGGATTACTCAAGTTGGTGGTGGACGACACCCCCCACCGGGCATGACGTTACACGACATCACCATGGTAAGGATCACTCTACAGTCTTCTCACGTACCTAGAAACACTTTCACATTGCCTCTTTGGCTTCTTATAGGTATGTTACTTGCTGTCACTCTTCGAAAGAAACACCAAGAGCTGACGTCGACATCATGCTCCTGAGGCGCTACCGACCGCTGACCGAGAAGAAGCATCAACAGCTTGCACCTCCGAGCCAAGTTCAACACATCAGTCTTCCTTGACCAGCTACAGACTCGAGATTCAGCGGACACTTAGCAAGACTAGACTACAATCAAGCGCTCGTCACTCCCTAGGGGTTGGGCGGCAATCCGATCGAGAGGCGACGAAGACCACCCTCACAAGTCATCTGTACCCATCACCAGCGCTTCCTTGATCTACAGCAAGCTTTACTTCACTTGCGAACAAAGGTAGGTGTCTCAGAGTTAACGTGAAGTTCATTGAGTTTGTTTGGTGTCAACACAAGTGCAGAGAGTGGCCATTGAGCTCTAGGTTGTGGTTGCTCTCAGTGAGGCGGTAATCGAGGCTTCGGTCCCTTCTCCGTATATTTGAGGATATCCCACATCTTTTGACTGTAATGATCAGTATACTAACGATGGCTCCTGTCAGGGCAAACTCCAATGGCCCCCTGGCCATACAGGACGCTTCAGTACAAAGCGACAACGACAGGCATCCCACAGCGCTCCCGGATCCCCCGTCAACCCAGAAGCGCTGGAAACGGCGCTTGAATTGTTTAGAGCCGCGGGCAGCAAAATCTCATGAGCATGACAGTCATCACACAGGGGCTCAGTTACTTTGAGATGAGGATGTAAGTCGGAAACCCCGAACTAGATCACCGCAGATACCTCTTACACAGAACGCCGGAAACAGTCACTGACAGTTACTCTTATGCTAGGTAGCCAACTGGAAAATCTAGATGCAACCGAGTCCCCTAAACTTGAGCTGAGAAGAAAAGCTCGTAAGCAGAAGTCACCCCTGATCCCTACCGACTTCGCCGTGCAGGCCGCTAGTACACCTTTCACCTCCCCTTCTGTCCCGTCAATGCCCCTTCACTCGCTCTTGAGCGCTTGAGAAGTGCCAAGTAACTAGATCACCGTCTTTATATCTTAGAGGCCTGTGTTGGCACGGTCTAGTCAGGTCGAACAACTTGCAGCTTGACGGTTCGGATCCCGCAAAGACAGATATCAAGGCTGGGTCTTTTACGATGGAGAGAGCCAAAATTTCTTCTGCACTTAGAACTCACGGAGTTAGTCGTTGTTCGCAGCGCGCTCAGCGGCGGCTGTGACTAAGACAAGGTGAAACCATGAGTTCTGACTGCACTCTCAGGGATTTAGGAGCTTCTCTATCCCCTTTCTAGATGAAACGCTGAAAGCAATAGGCACTCCGTGTCTCTTCGGAGGACCCCCAGACTTACCGAAAGAACCTCTGGGGCTTAGGAAGTAAGCCTGAAGAGCGAATCATGTCTTTGTGTAACTGACAAGAACTTTAGGCTTCCACGCAACAAGACACAATGAAACTGGCGAGGACGGTGCAATAATACACAGGTTCGCATTCTGCTTCAGATCTCTAGCAATGGCCTCGATCCACTCTTCAGCTTGATTCTCTCCTTTCAAGGTTGCGGAAAGATTTCCCTTAAGCACTTCAGATTACAATTCACTTGTCATGAGACAGTACTAACTATGCTCTCAGGGGCTGGCATACTCTGGCCGTTCGTTTTCTGACAAACGAGTCCCATAACCAGTACCGTTCCCCCTTCGTCTACGAGTAACCCCGACACCGTTTATGCCGAGTCCCCAAAGAATCTTTCAGTTGGCCCTAGTGAGCTTCGTATAGCAAGGCTCTCGGAAGGCATTCAGGACCTTTCCGTCCTTGAGAAAGTTGATGCCCATGAAAAGCGCTTAGAAAAGCTGTGTGTGGAAGAATCTCACATATCCATAAGCTACGCTTCACCCTCAGGGGCTAACTCGTCTCGGTACTTGCTATCAGAGTCACTCAGTCAAAGGTTTCGACATACCCTGCTTAGCTATGGTTCCTTGTTTTTCTTTCCAATTTATTAAGAGCTAGTATGGTTCTTAGGGGCTCCGCCGTAAACCCCAGCTTACACA